CAACCCGATCCTTAAAAATCGCCGAAAGTTTCTGCCATTGCATGGCACCGTCTCCATCTGTGTAAACTCTACTCCTTTCATTCATTAGGTGATGACCTGAAAACATCATGACGGAGGTCCAGGGCACTGTCGAGTTTTCGGTGGAGCTACACAAATTCCATAATGTGGATCTCTTCCAGAGAGGGTGAGTCTATGTGTTCTTGATGTTGTAAGTAAGGTTTGTGAATAGGGAAGACAATCAGGGCTCTTTTTGTAGCAGAGCTCCTTTGCATATTAGGCGACACACCCCTAATATAGCCAATCCTCCAAGAGCTTACAGAGCTCTTCTTACAGGGGCTACTGTATGCTCTTAGAGGATTGGCTACATTAGGGGTGTGTCATCTAATATGCAAAGGAGCTCCTGCTACAAAAAGAGCCCTAGTCCTTCCATATTTCAGGTGCGGATTCCTGTAAGTCCCAGTTGTGGGGAGAAAGAGCAAGTAGGTCAGGGGTCCCAAACTTCGTGCCTCTGGGCACCAAGGGGCCCACCAACACTGTTCTTGGCACCCACCAAGTGTTTAGGGAAAGTGGGTGGGGCCAGGTTGGACTTTTGTCCAAGAAGGCTTCTGATTGGTCATTGGAAATTTGGTTGGCTGTGAACATTTTTAAAGATGCACCACACGAATCTTCACGATGTGATGGAAGGTAAACTGTGGCAGCCATTTTCTGGTTGGCTTCACCCTCGGCGGCAGCCATTTTGACACAGCCATTTTGTGGCCACACCCACTGCACTGTATCAGAAATCCAGAGGTGCCCACAGGCTGAAAAAGGTCGGAGACCCATGAAGTAGTTAGTTGTGCAGCCAAACTAGAATGAGGTGCTATTTAGGGCCAGATGGGACCAGATTGGATTCTCTAATCATGTGACTTTCATTATGGTTGTTATGCCAATAAAGGTTTTCTGTTCTGTTCATTATGGGTTGGATCTGCAGGGATGGAACTGCAATGCAGATGGGACCAGGTCAGTAATGCCCTTTGGCTTTCTAGCTGGTATGAGGGATCAGGAAGTGAGGTCATTGGGTTCCTGGTTTGAGATCTTTGGCATCTTACAGTATCTGTTCAAGGAACACCATCTAACTGGACTTACATTGAGTTTGAAACTATGTACCAGTTGAAGAACGAATGTCTAGGTGACCTTGCAATGTAAGTGGATGGCCCCACTGGTGGACCTCCTGATGGGACCTGGTATTTTTGGCCACTGTGTGACAGTGTGTTGGACTGGATGGGTCACTGGCCTGATCCAACATTGTCTTCTCTTATGTTCTTATGGATTTCTCCATTTTGTGACTGGTGTAGTGGTAGAGTGTGGGGCTATGATAGGGGATACCTAGGTTTGAATCCCCACTTGTGCCATGGAAGCTCGCTGGGTAACCTTGGGCCAGTCACACTCTCGGCCTAACCTACCTCACAGGATTGTTGATGTGAGGATAAAATAGATGAAAGGAGAATGAGGTTGAAAAAATCTCCCAAATTCTTGTCTGAAAGTCTTAACTATTATACCTTTTGTGAGGTGGTTGATGTCGAACGGTAGGAAGCAGCCAGTTCTGGTTGCGTCATTCATGCAGCATAGTATCAAGTTATGCAGTGGTTACTGCCAGACCTGGCTGTAGTGAATCCTCCCGTGAAGGCCAAAACAGCCTTATAAAGGGCCCTGCACCTCCCCCTGCCTTTCACTGACAGAAACCAAAGCTTGAAGGCTGGCAGTACTTTTGTGGTTGCTTAGCAACGGGCACTGAGGGCCTTTATTTCTTAAAGCTACAGGCATGGCTTCTGTCTTGTTGGAGGGTAGTTAACGGCCTAATGTATTATTGGTTTTTTTTTAAGATTTTACATTTTTCTGAAAACCTGAGGCTTTCCCCAGTTTGGGGGGGTGGGGGTGGTCTGCCTTGTCTGTTCATGGCTCCAGTCTCTAGATTAATCACAGATTCTGTCATGTTGAGAATTGGATATATTGATGGTGTTTAGTGATCCTTGATCTCACGTGATGCCAGGACAATAACCATTTCTCTGTTCATACTTCAACAGTATTCCCTCTTTCATACATATGCCCTCCTGCATGCCCTGCATGATACTTTGCCTCTAACTCTCTCTCTCACTTGCACACAGAGAGAGCGTGGGAGAGAGACAGGCCGGTATCCAGCTATGCAGTTCCTCCAACAGAATGGCATTTCCATTTGCAGAAGAGGGTGTTGCAATTTCCAGTTATTTCCTCTCCAACTGTAGTCCCCCACTTGGCTGCTGTGTCGTTTCTGTGGGTCTGCTGACCCTCGGAAACAATATATTTTGGAGGGAGGAGACTCGGAGGGCTGGATTGGAAGAAGTGAGAAAGCCCTGTCCCACCAGCTCACCAGCCGGCTGGATAGTAGTGTGGACAACCTCTTGTGGGCCTGATCTCCAAACAACAGAGATCACTTCCCTTGGAGGGAATGGCAGCTTCAATGGGTGGACTCTATGGCACCGTACCCTGCTGAGGTCCCTCCCCTCCACAAACTCTGTCCTTCCCAAGGCTGCACCCCAAATATCCAGGAATCCCCCAGCCTGTCAAACCTGCTGTGCATTTTACAGCTCATTCGAGTGGGAGAGTGTGAAACTGAAATACTTTCACTTTTGCCAGATTGCTTTGAAGTAGCATGTATCCTTATCACCTCTGAGAACCCAGGCATCCTTGGGTCTCAGCTTTCGCCACTCGGCTTCATTTTATGTATCAGAGGGAAGGCATAGTAAGGGGGGTTGCTGGCCGTTGCTTTTGGCGGGTGGAATACTAAGGGGAGATCAGTCCCGGGTCTTTTAGGGCCCCTGCTTGAACCTGGTATATCTATTGCTTTTGCACCTTTAACCTTAGTTCTAACACAACCAATGTCCAGTCTGGATCCTATCAATGTCTCAATAAACCTATCATTCCCCAGAGTGAATGTTGTTGGGAACTGATTTATCCAAGAGACTGACAAAGCCTGGAGTTGGCAAACCTACTGAATACATGTGGTTATATTTGAGTTTGGGCAAACATTCACAAGTTGGCTGTCTAGTTTTTAGGGTTTTTTTCCTGTGACAAACCAAGAATCTGCTGGTGCCAGTGATCCTACAAATGCTAGATAAGAACATAAGTTTCATCCATGGAGGATCTTTTTTCATTATGTCGTGGTCTGCCCGTTGTGCTGGGAACCGAGATGTAAATTTTTGTCTGCAATGATAGATCAATTGCAGAATTTTTCTGACATCGGCAAATTAATATTTCTGCTGTCGGATGCAGACCCTACAGTTTACTACAGGGTAGCAATCTTCGCCTTAGTGGCTTGTAAAATCAGGACCAAGAACATAGAAAAATGAAACTGAACTGTAAAACGGCCATGTAAAACAGCAATGTTTGAGGCTGAGTATGTTTTCTGGAGATGGGGATCCATATTTAAGATTTTAATTGATTTAAATACTGAACGTGCAGATTTTTAGAGGTTGTAATTCGGATCTAACTCAGATTCCAGTGCTGCGAGTTGTTTAATTTGTACATTGTTTTTAAATTGTAATGGCGAATCGCTGCACAATAAATTTTACTTACTACTACTTACATAGAGTGATGTAGCACCCCCCCCCCAATGTCAAGGAATGCTGAGTCTCTCACTCCAACAGTAAATACTCAGCCAGTCTGGTGTAGTGCATTCCCCACTCCTCCCCGGGTTGCATTCCCCACTCCTCCACTTGCAGCTGCTGGATGACCTTGGGCAAGCCATAGTTCTGTCAGAGCTGTCCTTGAAAAGAGCAGTTTCTGTCAGAGCTCTCTCAGCCCCACCTACCTCACAGGGTGTCTGTTGTGGGGAGGGGAAGGGATAGGAGTTTGTAAGTCGCTCTGAGACTCTGAGTGAAGGGCGGGGCATACATCCAATCTCCTCCTCCTCCTCCTTCGTGTCAGTGACATAACATGACAGAAAATGGTGGCAAGGGAGAAATAACTTATTTTGTTTATAAACAACAAAGGTGAGATTTATTTGCGTAGTTCTAGAGGTCAAGCGTCTTGTAAGACTTTTTTTTTTTTTTGCAAGGCAAAGCATTTCTGGGCCTTCCTCGCCTCCCCCAATTCACTCCATCTCCTGTGATTTAATGGCTGGTGACAACCATGCCTGCAGCAAAATTAGTTTAGGCCCTCTGACATCCTTTAATAAACTGGGAAATAAAGTTATTGGCCCCTGCCAGGGATCAATTAATTGATTTGCTTGCTTGGGTCAGAAGCCTCCGTTCCATCCCTTTTCTTCTGTAGTCATTTCGATCTTTATGGACAGGGAAATCTCTGTGTGTATTTGTGTCGTAAAGCATATAAAAAGTTAACCAAGGGCAGAGGTTTCCCCCCCACCTGGCAACGGAAAAAGAGAAACAGACTCCAATAATCTAGATAAAAGAAGGTTCCTAAACTACGTATTTAAATGTTTTAGGAATTGCCCATTGCTTTAAGAAAATCTTAATTCTGTACAGAGTACTGCAGCAGACTTTTATGGAGCTTGTAGACAGGGTTGTTAGTATCCAGATATTCATTCAAGCAGGATAGATCCATCGGTCAGTCACTCATATATATATTTTGCTGTGGTGACCTCAGCAGGGTATAATGACAGAGTCCACTGTTTTCTCCAGAGGAACTGATCTCTGGTCCCTGAAGAGCAGTTGTAATTTTGAGTGATCTGTAGCCCTCACCTGGAAATTGGCAACAATTGTTTCCCAGGACGAAATGGCTGGTTTGGAGGGTGGAGTCTATGGCATTCTACCTGTCTGATGTCCCACCCCTCCGCAAACCCCACCCTCTCCAGGCTCCACCCCTCAAATCCCCAGGAATTTGCCAGCCTGGAGTTGGCAACCCCATCTCCTTCGCAGGTAACCATCAACCTACCATTATCTGCCCCTTTGACTTCAGCTGACTTCCGCTCTCCCTTCTGCAGAGCAATTGTAATTTTGAGTGGTCTCCAGCCCTCACCTGGAGATTGGCAACAATGGTTCCCCATGAGGGACTGAGTGGTTTGGAGGGTGGAGTCTATGGCATTGTACCTGTCTGAGGTCCCACCCCTCCTCAAACCTCACCCTCTTCAGGCTCCATCCCTCAAATCTCCAGGAATTTCCCATCGGGAGTTGGCAACCCTATCAGGATTGGCCCCAATATGTTTTCTCC